ACCCAGACGTAACCTAGGAATTTCTCCCATGTCACCTCAGAGGTCTTTCTTGGGACGTGGACCCATACTCATGCGATCTGCCCTTTGCACCTACACTATACTTCACAGGGAGCGGCCTCTGTCTCGGTTGACCCCCTCACGATACCGCTCCAGCTGCGAACAAATCATGTAAGCCTCGACTGTATGTAGAGTCGACGGTCTCATGAATTGTCCCATACGATCGGCCTTTTTACCAAATGGTGGAGGAGGAAATGAGCTTTAGGCGTCGACATCTAACTGACGTGGTGAGTTTACGGCCACGTGGAGCATAGTCATCATCTGACGTGTCAACGTATATTTTCCCACACAACAGCTCCCCCCCAAGTTGAGGCTTTTCTTTGGACTGCCTCATACTAGGCTGGGATTTGCTCTGGCCTTTCCGTTTGCTTCGGGCGTGGGAGCCTAACTCTGAACCTCCCTTGTAATGATGGTTCTGATGCTTCGAGAAGTGCAAACGTCACATCAGTTCGATCGCCATGCTGACCTGGGCTTTTATTTAAATGGATGAATCTGGGCCGTTGGATCGTGTCTCTTCAGCTTATTGAAGAAATACTTTACCGAGGGGAAAGCTGAAGGCGAGAGGGGGAAGAAAGAAGCCGAGCTCGCGGCGGGTAAAAATGATTTGAACTTGGAAAACTTCACTGCCAAGCGTGAGAAAAATATTTAAGAGTTCATGACTTCTGAGGAGCTTATTGAAATTCGCACAAAGGATTTTCAGTCCGCCGGGGAACATGTAGTGGAACTAATCAGACGACACCACCCCGAGTGGGACTTGGGTTTCCTGTATACTCCTCCTCCTCCTGTAGACGGCGACGGCTCTTCTCAGCCCGGCAGCGGAGATGGTTTGGTTGGTAGCAGCGAGGATTGAGAGCATGCTTCATGTATTTTTTGTTTGTTTTTTTTAGATAATGGGTTCTTAGCCCACCAACTTGTATATTTTTTCGTAATTGATATATAATACACTACTGCTTTTATTTTTAGATATTCTATCGTTAGTGCCTTTTAGGGCTTATTCTAGCAAATTTCTTAGAATGTCAAATGATTGCCCTTTCTCCTTGGAGATGTCGGCGTTTTAAATACCCCTTAGGGCAAATTCCTTAAAATTTTGCTAAGCAATCGTCTCTTCTCCTTGGAGAGGTCGACGTTCTTGATGTTTAAATGCCACTTAGAGCAGGCAGATTCTTTAAAATCTTTTTAAGTTATCGTCTCGTCAACTTGGAGATGTCGACGTTTAACATTTTTTTGTGTGGTCCGTAGACCCCTGCTGCCCCCCGTGTCTATATGAAAACCTTGATTTTTAGGCAGACATGTTATTAAGAGGTCGAAAAGGTATTCAATCAGGTCGGCCGAGGAAACCTGTTGCGCCGACCAGAACCAATGCAGTCAGATCCAAACCGAAGGAATCAAAACAAATACTGCAGGTTCCACAGAAACGTCAGCCACAACACCAACGACTGCACCGACCTGAAGGATGAGATCAAAAGACTAATCCGCGAGGGGAGGTTGCAAGCATTTAAAGCTGATAGGAGAGGCCATGGTCACGGAAACGACGGTAGGTGCCGGGAGGATAATCGGCAGGGAGAAGACCGTGAGCCAGTCGGTGTCATAAGGACCATCCATGGGAGACCATATCTTGGGGGGGATTCAAGAAGATCCTAGAAGACTTATGCCCATGAGGCAATAGACGTGTACGAATAGAGGTTTTGGAACGTCTCAACTGCCAAGCCAACAAAGACAACAAAATTTGGTGGTACTGAAGTGATATTCACTGAAGAAGACGCGAATAGGGTCCATTTCCCCCATAATGATGCCTTGGTAGTAGAGACAGTGATTGGAAACCACACTATCTACAGAATCCTCATGGACAACGGGAGCTCGGTGGACATCATGTACTTCGATTGCCTGAAAAAGATGGGGAACTCGAAGGAGCAACTGGAGAAAACATCCCGGCCATTATATGGGTTCACAGGGGATTCGGTCATCCCCCTAAGGAACAATCAGGCTGCTTAAAACTGCAGGAGAAAAGCCTAGGCATACAACTACTATGGTGAATTTTGTGGTAATTAAAGGAGGCTCACAGTACAACGCCGTGATCGGGAGGCCGTCTTTTAGGCGCTAAGAGTAATAACATCTGTCTACCATCAAAAGGCTAAGTTTCTAACCCCTAATGTCGTAGGAGAAATGAAGAGCAATCAGTATGAATCCTGGGTCGCATACTCAGATGCCATACGTGGATATGATCAACCGGGGAGACAAGAAGCGAGAATGGTACATCAAGGACCAGTTGAGGACATAGATCCTAGAATCGAAGAGGATATTACATGGTCCCAACCAATCGAGCAGTTGGTGAAAATTGGGGTAGATAATAAAGAGCCAACGAGGGAACTATTGGCCTACGCTTAAAAAAGACGCGTATCAATATGCTCGGTGTTGCGATAAGTGCCAACGATAAGCCACGATTCCTAGAGCACCCCTAGAAAACCTAACTTCCATTCTTAGCCCATGACCTTTTGCCAAATTAGGGGTCGACCTGATTAGACCTTCGCACCTCGCACCGGGAGGTTTTAAGTTTGCCATCGTCCCTGTAGACTATTACACTAAGTGGGCCGAGGTGAAAGCTCTTACTTCGACCACAGAGGCTATCTGCACGAGCTTCATCTAGAACAACATTGTATGCATGTTTGGGGTTCCACATTAGATTGTGTCTGACAATGGAAAGCAATTTCATAATGCCTCGACACGTAAATTTTGTGACGATTTGGGCATTCAGAAAGAGTTCTCTGCCCGATACATCCGTAGTCCAACGGCTAAGTTGAAGCCATCCACAAAATCCTATGTAGCTTTTTTTTGATAGAGTGAACCACTATAAACCCGCATGTCTTTCTACTTTCGTTTCTAACGACAAATCGATACGTCTTTCAATATCCCTAAAAAACCAAGACAATCAGTTGCATAAATATGAGAATATAATTAGTTTTGGCTGGTAACCCAACGGACCACCGAGAGGTAATCCGGTATAATCTTGTTGACGAAATTCCACCGTCAGCAACCAACATCACTTTTTGTCACTCTCTTAATCACTCACTGCATTTATTGTTTAACACGTGAACTCTATTATCTTATTTTCTGTTTAAATAATAATATATCGTGTTAATAGAGTACACGTGTCAAATAGTGAATATTGAGAGTGATAAAGAACGTGACAAAAAAGTAATACTAATATTTTTTGATGTGTTATTACAACATCTTGTCTTTTAAAATTTGAAAATATTATTGTTAAAATAAAGTGTTTTGTACAATAACGATTTCGTTAAATAGAGGAAAGTCCTCCAAGTAAATGAGTTAATAGTATATAGTGAGAGTATAAGAAGATAAAGATGGATTGTTCTATTACTCTTTTTAAATGCATGATAAATCCTAATTTTGAGGGGAAAAAAAGCAAGACCAAAAGATGTTAATATATATATATATATATATATATATATATATATATCTATATAGATATATATGTTTTATGAAGTTATGTTAACATTGTGTTATGTAGTCTTTACTATTTAGGATCTGTTTGATATGAGAGTTTAAATCAGAATGATTTGAGCTTTTGAGTTTAAATAATGTGGGTTTTGAAATATTGTGGAATTTGAATTCAGGTCTCATTCTATGAATTTTTTTGTTTGAAACATGTGTGCTGTTCAAACTTTAAAATTTTTCTTTTTAAGCTAAATGTTGGTTTTGTTAGACTGGGTTCAATTTGATAATTATTAAAATAAATTATATTTAGCTAAAATAAAGAGTATGATTGGAGTGAGTCACTAAAAAATTATTAGCTAAAATAGCTTTCTAAAAATTTTAGCTAGAATTTAGTTAAAATTTAGAGAATTCCTATCTATTTTAGCTAAAATAGGTGCTAACAATCTTATGATATGTTTACTTACCACGATTGAGAAATGAAAGTGAGACATGAGAGTCAATCCAATGTTTGCTCGCTCTTTTTTATCGGAGTGAAATTAACGGGATTAGTACTTTTACACTAGTTCTTTTTAATTCTGAGTGTAAGTAAACGCATGAATGAGATTCGAAGTAACTCCGATTCTGAATCTTGTCACTAAGTAAACAACTTATTATAATTTTAGGGCCTGTTTAGCTCGCTGATTCGAGTTTTTAATTCGAGTTGAGATGTTATTTTATGTGAGAGTTTTTTACTGTCGTAAAAAGATTAGATGTGACTGTTTTTAAGAGTTTTTTACTGTAATAAAACTCAAATTTTAAACTCGAATCAATGAAATAAATAAAATTACTCACTCAAAATTTTATCCCCTCTGAATTATATTTATTCTGATTCATGTCCATTTTAACTACGTAAATATGCCATTACTCTAATTTATTGTAATTGCAATATTGTTAAGAAAAAATGAAAAAGAAATGAAAAAGAAAAAGCTAATAATTGGCACTTAAAATCAGCCTCTCCCTGCGGTCCCCTTTCTGATTGACTGATAATCACGCGCTATGGATAAGTGTCATGAGATTGTGGGACCAAATTTTTTTTTTTAATTTTTAACAATCTTTTCTTAATCTTTTTTCTAATTTTTTTCCTTTTTATTTTCTCTCTCTAATAACATTAGGCTTTCACGTGTGTTTGTCAACCTTGGTGAGGGTTGTCGGTCAAACTGGTTTCCCACAAAGCAAAATAATTATATGGGATGGAGTAAATAATAATAGCAATAATAATGAATGACACCAAAAAGCAAAAAGAAAAAAAAAAAGAAAAGAAAACTCAATAACATTCCTGAACAAAATAATAATAAATAATAAAGTGCTAAAAACTAAAAAGGACTGTTTAGAGATCTGTCTGCTTTGTACAATATTTTTGACAGATGAGAAAATTTATTATTACCTCTATAAAGACTCTTCCTGGTTGCTTCATTCCAAAACCCCATTTCAGGCTCTCTCTCTCTCTACTCTCTCTCTCTCTCTCTACCCTTTTCTCTCTGTTTTTTCTCCCTATTTTTTGGTTATTTTCTCTCTGCATATGAATTTATGGAGCTGGGTTTAAGCTTAGGAGACCCTCCCAAGCCCTTTGGGTTCTTAGAGAAGCACCAGCGCGAAAACGACAACAAAAGTTCTGCGTTTTGCATGGACTTGTCGATTGGTCCTTCAAGAACCGGAGAGGAGGGAGGAGGGAGAGCGAAAGAGCAAGAGGAACCGGAAGAACTTAAGGAGAAAGAACAGCAGGGGATTCGAAACGACGTCGTTTGTATTGCCCAGATTGAGAATGTTATTGGAAACGACAACAAGCCCGGTTCCTCCCCTCCGGTTCAGCTCGATCTTCTTCCTCTCTCTCCGGTTCCTCGTACGACAACAACAACAACCCATGGCTTCCCTTGGTCTTCTTCCCCCGCCGACACAGCCGGTGAGACTTTCAAACGATATTAAAATTATTTTTTCTTTTTTCTTTTTTTATTTTGGGAATTTTTACAGTGAGATTATGTGTCTGTACTTTGCATTTTCTTTACTAAAAATCGAAATAAACGTGACGACTGTACTTTTTTTTTTTTCTAAAAGAGTTGAGATTTTTTTAAATATTGGTATATATATATATTCTTTTTTTTTTGTATTTTTGGGTGAGATTATATAGCAAATTACAATATTGCACATTTCTTGGTAAATTTCGATAAAAATAAAATATTGGTTTAGAAGAAAGAAGGAAAAAAAGAACTTTACAAGTGGAAAAGGGTGACATTTTTTTAGGGACGAAAAGTGTATTATTTACATGAAAAAAATGATATATATATATATATTTTAGTTTTTATAGTGTGATAGAATATAGGAGTGTTCTTTTTTTATTTATTTATTTATATCTTCTAAAAATCTTAACGGTTTACAACTGTATCATTATTTTCCGAAAATGTATATACAGAGTTCGTTAGATTACAGATTTCATAAAAATCTAACGGTTCAAGGATCAGTATTTTCCGAAATTGTATATACAGAATTCGTTAGATTACAGATTTATTGAAAATCTAACGGTTCAAGTATCATTATTTTCCGAAATTGTATATACAGAATTCGTTAGATTACAGATTTCATAAAAATCTAACGGTTCAAAACTGTATCATTATTCTCCGAAAATAAAATATATGTACAGAGCGCGGCAGTGGTGGGCTGGAACTGAACAGGATCCCGAAAATAACGGCGGCGGCGGCGGCGGCAGAGGAGGCGGCGGCAGAGGAAGGGTCGTCGCCGAATTCAAACAGCGGAGCGTCATCTTTTCCGATGGAGATGTGCTTGTACAGCAGCGGCAACAAAAATAATGGCAACAATAATAACTACAAAAGAGATCAGTATATCTCTGAAGGAGAAGGAGAGAGGAATTCGAATTCGAGAGCGAGCGACGAGGACGAGGCAAACGGCGCAAACAGGAAGAAGCTGAGGCTCTCCAAAGACCAATCTGCTTTTCTTGAAGAAAGCTTCAAAGAACACAACACTCTCAATCCTGTTAGTACCTCTGAACAAGAACTCAAATTTTTTTTATTTAAACCTGCGAAAATAAAAGAGTTAAAAATAATTTCTTATCAAGATATTAATTTAATATAAATGAAAAAATGAAAAGGAAAAACTTTTAGTTTTAGTTTTTTGATTTTTGATTTTTGAGTTATGCAGAAGCAGAAGATAGCTCTAGCCAAACAACTCAACCTCCGTCCTCGCCAAGTAGAAGTTTGGTTCCAGAACAGAAGAGCAAGGTATTCTATATATATTCTATATATATATATATATTGTATAAATTTCCTTGGATCCAGAAAAATAATTTTATATTTGTTATCTCTGTTTCTTTATTATTTTTTAACTTCAACAAGTAACATTTTTTTTTTAAAATAATGCTTTAATTGAATTGTTATTGAATATAGGGAGAAATAAACTTGATCTTTTTCGGGATAATTTACCTTTTTTATACAGTTTTATCTGAAAATCATCTGTTTGGTTAATAATATATACTTTCAAATTAGATCTACCTCATAAAATGTGTTAGATTTATTCATTTATTTTTTCTTGTGATATGTCTTTTTTGGTCGTGTTTAAAAGTCCCACAAGTGTGTTGAAATTTTAGTTTTTGGCGACTTTTTAGGACAAAATTGAAGCAAACGGAGGTGGACTGTGAGTACTTGAAGAGGTGTTGCGAAACATTAACAGAGGAGAACAGGAGACTTCACAAGGAGCTTCAAGAGCTGAGAGCTTTGAAGACCTCAAACCCCTTTTATATGCAATTGCCTGCCACCACTCTCACCATGTGTCCCTCCTGCGAGCGCGTCGCAACCACCACCACCGCCACCACCACCGCGGCCGCCGCCACAAACACTAGTACTAATTCCAACAATACCAAAGACTCAAAAGCAGTTGGTGGGTTTCCCCTTAATAGGCCGAAGTTCTATCCATTTTCCCATGCCCAAACGACATGAGCTTTATATATGTGAATGTATAGCACATGGGGGAAATTTTGTGTCCAAATTGTTTTTTTTTTTTTTTTTGTACATAGTCAAAAAGTAAAAGGTTCAGGGTATTAGAGAATCATGATCAAATAGGTTTTGTTTGATTAAATCATGGGGTTGTTTTATTAATTACTTCATTGTTATGGGGGCGGGGTATAGACTTGGGTGTTTTTTTTTCCTCCTCCTCCACCCCAATATGTTAGAGAGGAAAAAGGAAAAAGTAAAAAAAAATATATATATATATGGACAGAGATATGTGGTTGTTATCTTTTGTTTTTCTTGTAATATCTGATTACCCCTACTTTTTTACTGGGAAAAAAAAGAAAATAGAATGAAATTTGTTTTTGCATTTTGAAATTCTTGTTCTTGTTGTTGTTGGCATGAAAATGACCATTGAATTGATTGTTGATATAATATTAAATAGAGAATTATTTAAAGGTTGTTGGGTTTTTGAACCCTTTTCTTTTTTCTTTTGGTGAGAATGCATGTTTTGGTATGGTTTCAAGCATGCTTTGAGTATGGGGCAACATGGAGGTGATATTGGGGGTAGAGACTGACTTTGTGACTTTATTGTTTAATGTGTTTAAGCTCTCTCTCTCTCTCTCTCTCTCTCTCTCTCTCTCTCTCTTAATGATTTCAATTCAAAAGAATGGCATTTCCTAGTCAAATTGGTGGAGGCGTGGGGTTTTGTGGAAAGTAGACTGAGGCTGACTTGGTGGTTGGGGGGGCTCACGGGTTTCAGTTAGAAATAGGATTTGATGCCATTCCCTTTGGTCCATATTTAGTAGGGCAATCCCTTTTTAGTTTTTAGGGTACCCCAATAATGACTACATTCACCGGTAAAGATGGACATTATACATATATATATATATATATGTATATATATGATCATGCATAATAAGTACTGCCATATGATTAGGGGTCATATCACATGTCATGTTTTGATCGTTTATTTTTAAATTTGCAGTTAACCCGAACACGATCCGTGACACGAAATTTTTTAAAAACTGTAACATGAACACGACACAATAACTTTTTGGGTTGACACGACACGATACAAAAATGATCCGTGGCACGAAATTGACCTGTGAACCCGGCATTAACACGAAAATTGTATACTGTTATTTAGTTTTTTACATATTAGAAATAATTTAAAATTCATAACACAATTTTGATTCGAACCTGAAATTGACTTGTGATCTTCGTGTCAATTTCAGGTCGATCAAATTTTGATCCGAACCTCTTTTTTTTCAATCCTAACCCGCGAAATTCGTGTCATTTTTGAATCGTATTATTATGTCATGACCCATATTGCCGACCCTACATATGACTGTGACATGAGTTGTTACTATGTATGTATGTGGAGAGATATCTTTTTGACTTTTGTGTTATTTACTATTGTTATTATTTTTATTTTTATTTTTATTTTTGCTAAATTGTGGTTGTATGTACTATGTACATATATGTTCTCATGAAGAAGTTTGCTAGGAGTTATTCGAAGTTACTTTGGTAAATTAAGTTGAGTAGCTTCTTAGACATTATGAATGGTTAGTAATGCTTTTTTGGATTAAAAAATGTCCCTAGTATATTTCAGGGAAAAATGGATTAGATATTTAATACTCCAGAATTTTAAAAATTCTGCCTAGTATATATTGACGATATACTTGTTTTCTCAAAAGAACGGATCAATAGTCATTATGATCATCTTTACAAAGTTTTTAATAAAAATTTTTAGAACAAGGAATAATCATTTCAGAAAAGAAAATGCAAATAGAACAAGAACACATGGAGTTCTTAGGATTAAAAATAGGAAAAGAAATTAGCAGCATGTAGATTGGTGAATTGAATTGCTCTTCTTTTTTCTTTTTTTCTTTTTTGTTGGAGTTCTTCAATATGTGAAGGTAAAACTTCGGTTCTACGTAGTTCACATTGTATTTCACATTTTGATCAACTTTTGAGAGTCACTTTTCAATATAAATTCAATATGGTAGTGTCATATCTTTACCATTTTTTTTTTCTCATATGCATATATATGTTTGTGTTTGTGTGTGTATATATAGCATTCTTGCTCGAGATTAGTTAATATTAATTATCATTTTTATGATGATGAGAACATCATCAATCAAGTTTCAAAAAAAAAAAAAAAAAAAAAGGAAAAAGAAAACGGATTATTGAGTAGTTTTGTTCAAACTTCTTTGTTAAGAAAACTTGTCAGAATTAAATACTCAATCAAAGTGGAGATCATAGGATGGATGGCAGAACTTAAATAAGAAATCTTCTTTTTTTTTTTAAGAAAAAATTTTCTTAGGGTATGTTTTTATATTTTTATCAGTAGTCATACACGTTTCGATTTTATGATTAAAATAATTGTAATATCCCCTATTAAGATATTATGATTCACGTCAACCAAAATTTAATTGCAGAAAACAAATCAAATTTTAATGCATGGTTAATAAAAATTGTAATATCTTTATTTGATTATTCCATAAGAGTCGTATGAACCTTGAAAACTGCCTCACATACAGAAAATACATATTAATCAATACATGATTTCTTTTCACTACTTGTCCTCATTCATTTGCATTACGTCAGTTGCTCAAAAAGTCAGTAACGATTAATAAATGACTGGCTCCATGGAATAAAACTTATAAAAATTTTACAAGATGGAAACCGCAACAAAAGAACAAGTGTTACAACTCAATAAAATAACTAAAAAAAAAACAATAAAAAGGAGATAAGAGCATTCATATTAGGAATGAGTCACACTTATAAAACTTTTTTTTTGTTTTGTTTTATGATCTATCCAGATAGACGTTCAACGTAATATTTCAAAATAAAAAAAATAACATAACAATTATTAAATGTAACATCAACATTAAAAAGACGCTTGTTATGTTATGTTCATATACATTAATGTTGTTGTATATGTTACGTTAGATGCACTAATTAATACCTTATATACATATATTTATTGTATGTGCGTATACATAGACATGATAGGTCACAAAAATGAGTCATGCAAGGCATGGGTTCTCCGTATGAGTGTATAACGTGGGAGGCCACAACACAACACAACACATTAACACAACATGAGAAAAGGTGGGGCCAATAAATATTAATAGATTGGAATATGGAACCGACCATAGGATTGATGGACCCCACAAAACGCCCCAAAAAATCCTTATTGGGAATTATTAAGGTAAAAAGCAACGACATGACATAATCACCTAAATAGAAAGTTCAATGGCAATTATTTATATGTCACCTAATGATTTGTGCCGCGTTTTATGTCTCATCTCATAGATTGGACTTCTTTTTAGAATCTCCCAAAATTTTTCAACTGAATTATTTTTTTAATTAATAAAGTTTCATTACATGCTATATTTTATGTTAATCAAGTTTTTTTAAGGGATTGTTTTAATTAAGTTGGGATATCCATTATTTATACGTGTGTGTCTACATATAATCTGAGATACCTTTTGGGTTTTTTTTAACCTTCAAGATTGTGAAGACCAAGATGGTGGGGACTTAATATCACTATATATATATATATATATATATATTATATAGCTCATATCGTGGATGAGGTTTCCTAGGTATAGAATTGAAGGCTCATTTAAGTGGGGATCTCTACCTTTTTCAACCAATTCAAAAGATTGTCAATTAATTGATAGGCCAGGAAAACTAGCCTTACCTGCCATTGTCGCAAGGAAACAAACATTTTTAAAAGGACACCATAACTTCGTCAAGTGGAGGAGTTTTATTATTTATCTTTTTGAACGTGGAGTGGGAGAATTTGATCAACTCAACACCTAATTAAATTAGATACTCATGCCTTAAATAGCATCATTACATGTCAAAATATCGTGTAAGTTAAAATATTATAATTAATGTGACATTATATTAATAGAAGGATATAAAAGAAGACAATAGACATACGAGCTAAATCGTAGAGTCGTATGTAGGTGTACCTCTAGTCTATGCCTAGAACCACAATAATTAATTAATTAATTAAAATTTATTTTTGCTAAAATCAATTGGTACATCTTAAAAGTCCAACGAGTACCACACTGTCTGGATTCATATTTGTTGTCTTATAACTTCTTGTCTCATTAGTTATCTGTCCAATTAATATTTGTCGCTTCACTTAAATATTTTTAATATTTAGTTTTATTCATGTGGTCAAATTGATAAATTTAGATGATGTGAATAAATAAGAAGTGATGGGATATATTAGGAGTGACAATTCGTGTCACGTGTCGTATTTTGATCGTTTCTTTTTAAATTTACAGTCAATCCAAACACGATCCGTGACACGAAATTTTTTAAAAACTGCAACCCGAACACGACACGACCACTTTACGGGTTGACACGACATGACACGAAAATGACCCGTGAACCCGAAATTGACATGAAAATTGTATACTTTTATTTAGTTTTTTACATATTAAAAATAACTTAAAATTCATAACACACTAAAATACAATAACATCCATTGAAATTAAGCAAATAATACTAAGATTTTGAGTATAACTATCATGATATCATAAGTTCATAATAAAATCAAAATATGTAATGAAAACTATATGTATTTTTTAGTTTTTTACGAGTTTCGTATCGTGTTCAGGTTAGGTGGGTCCAACCCGAAATTGACCTGTGTTTTTCGTGTCAATTTCAGGTCGACCCAATTATGACCCGAATATCTTTTTTCTCAACCCTAACCCGCGAAATTCGTGTCGTTTTCGAGTCGTGTTGTCGTGTCGTGATCCATATTACCGGCCCTAGGATATATAGCTAATATGATAAGAAAATGAGACAATAGATTTGGACTCAATATACTATTTGATACCAATAATCTTGTTTTGATGGAACATATGTATCACACTCCATTTGTAATCTTTGGTGCCATGGGTTTCTAGAGGTTCATTTGATTCCATCAATGAAGAAGACGTGTGCTTGATTTGATATACTTTTTTAGGTGTCTTCATATGTGGATCCTACACATACTATTTACATTTTAAGTATTTAATTCAAATCTATTAGTGACATCGGTTGTCCAATAGTGACTCGATGTCCTGTTAGAACATTGTGTTTGTCTTGGTGTTTGCAATATTTTTTTCTCTTTTCCGGAAAAAAATAATTGTAGCTTGGATTGTGGTATGATGTATAGATAACGAATTATTTATTTATTACTACGCTTGTAATATGCTCCGCAAGTATTGCTGTGA